AAATATGTTTACAAGATGTTTAGTTCATGAAATGTAATTGATTTAAAACACAAAATGAATCGATTAAAACAAAATCTATAAAATGATCCCATGATGAAAAGCACCTTAAAGGTTTTGTATAGAAACTTTTCCTCTAAGAGTGTGAGTAAATGATGACAGAAGTTTCTTTTTAAACTTTGGGGTGAATATAAGCTGTTTGATTAGCTTTGGCTAGCCTTCGCCAGCTGTGGCACCACTTGCTCACCTGCCCCTGTCACAGCGATTTGGCTGGTTCAGATGAATCTTCAGACGCGGTCTGCTCAGAGCATTCAGAGACTGTCACTTCTGCTGCTCCATCATGCTTCTCATAGTTGTGCTTTTTTTTTTAAACTGAAAAACCTTGGTATATACAGCGGGCTGGATGTTGTTTTGAATATCTCACTGCATAACAATGGGCAGCTGTAGTTGTGTAGGGTGGAAAAAAAAGATTAGAGGCTAGAAAACAAAAATCTGTATGACTTCATCCCAGAAAGCCCAGGGGTGGTGACGCCCCTATGTGACTCCACCACCATCTCACCTCTCCATCATCCCTCTGCTTTTTAATCTGGGATAGAGAGTATGAGCAGTTATGGTGTAAGCCTCTCTTCAGGACATGGACACTTCAGGTCACATATCGCTGTCATATAGCTCAGTGATACCGCTGCACATTCATCCACCGGGTCCTCCAAAGACAGCGGCAGCGTCCCGGATTACTGCATCTGAGATTATCATCCACCTTTATCTCGTTTGCTTATGTTACATGATAGTAACATAGCGATTACTGCCCATATCCCCGAAACCCGATGGCTGTAAGGGCCCGACAGCTTAGGAGGTCTGTTGTGTTATTACAACAACACATTTCATCCTTAATGGCATCTGGAGACTTAATTGTATTGTGCTGTAAATTCATGTATTTCCTTGCATCACTCTGTGCTAGAACGTCTCAGTTGATGAGAGAAGAAGGCGGCACTGATTTACTTCGGCCTTTAACTTTAGCAAATCTGTCCTCAAACGTGCCAATGTGCAGCTGCATATGAGTATAATTGCTTGTTCAAGATGTTCTTTCATGGTATTCAGACCATAGACTTTAAAAAAATATGGACAAAGCGTCTGTGACGTCATCCATAGACTTTCTGAAGAACAGATTTGAGGCTGTTTATGGGGGGTATGGGCGGCGACATATTAGAAAATCTTGAGAAATACAAATACAAATGTTCAGAAAAGATTCAGATGTGGTATGATGTGTTGTGTCAGATCATGGCCGAGACGTCAAATTCCACTCGGCGCAGACCGTTATCAGCTGTCAATCAAAGTTAACCGCCCTTTTTTGTCATACATTTTATATCTAAATACGATCTAAACTAACGAGTTATAAAAATATTCACCCCCCTCACAGTTGTCAGGCACTTGGAACCTATCCGAAAATAGAATAAAAGTCCATGGGACCATCTTGTAAAAGCATGAAGTCATGCTGTGAAAATGGACATTTTAACACGGGATCTATGGATTTTTGCTCCCTTTTGGGACCTCTCTCTAGCGGATTTTAGATGTATTGCATTTTTTCGCACTTCCGGGGGTAGGCTTCATTTTTCAGATTAGAATGTTCCCGCTTGATATAGATACATTATGCAGACATTGTGCACTTACGTTATGCTCTTTTGCAGCTATTGCACTTGTCAGAGGCCTTTTCACAAACAAATCAAAATGCTTGACTGAAAATACAATGCTGAAGATAAAATGAGTTAGTTCCTTTTATTATTGTAATTTTGCTCCCGGTTTATGTTTGTGTGTCTATTTTTGTCAAAGGGCTCTAACGTCTTTTCAAGCCTGTTTTTGAAACTTGATTCAACTAGCAATAGCAAGTAGTGAGAAACGTGGGCTTTTATACAGTGTGGTGTGAGGTAGACTTTGAATGAGTTGATGATGATGACAGAAAATATGTTATGTGAACTTTCTGTTTTATTAGCCCACATACATTGTTTTGCATTCATCTGAGAATGGACAACAACTGGCATCTCTCATAGCTTACTCTACCATTAAAACCATTACCATTACCAAAAATAAAGAAATAAATTACTACTTTTAATGAAAAAGGATGCATTCAAAATGGTCAAAGGGACAGCAAAGACATTTACGTTTCCTGAAATAAAATGAATTCGGTTTCCTCAAAACTGTTTTCAGCATTGTTAATGTTTCTTGAGCAGCAAATTAGCATATTAGAATGATTTCTGAAGGATCATACAATGAAGACTGGAGTAATGATGCTGAAAATTTAGCTTTGTCATCACAAGAGTAAATTCAATTTTAAAATGTAATAAAATAGATATTTATACAACTTGAATGGTTATTTTAAATTGTAATATTTCACGACAGTATTGTTGATCAAATAAATGCTGTCTTGGTGAAAAAGAGGCTTTCATAAACATTTAAAAATCATACCAAAACCCCAAACCTTTGAACGGTAGTGTATGTTACCTCACAAGACTAAATCGATCAGTTGAAAAATACTTCACTCAGAAATGAATCCGTTGTTTTTGTCTACGTGGTGAAGTACCAAGTCATTGGGTTTAAAAGATAATGTCCTTCAAATGGATAAAACATTAACTGTTCAATTTAAGGTTGACACTACCCTTCTAAAAGCCATTCACTCTGAAAGAGTATTTCATGTGCAGAAAGTACAAAGTGTATTGTACGTAATTTGGGATGGAACTAGGATCAGTTAGCATGTAGTGCACTCAATATTTAAATCATAATGAGATTACTCGCATCCAGATTTCCAATAGTTTTTACACAAAATGGCGTCTGATGATTTTGCACACAAATAAGTGAATCAAGAGCAGAAGTCTTGTAATATTGCATATGCTCACCAATATCGATTCTTCTAGAGAGCGAACTTAAAGAGCAGGTCTTTACCCAGTTTGCAGAATGTCTAGATAGAGCTGATGCTGCGCTAACCTCTCACACTGAAGAGCGAGCTGTACCTGAGTGCTGTACCTGTGAGTACCTGTCACGAGGATGGAAGTGTCAGGTGAAAATATAGATGGTGACGTAGGAAACGCTTTTAGAATGCGTGTTCTTGTAACTCAAATGGTCTTTTCAGGTCTTTACTGCCTAAGAGAGGCACAGAAATGATTCAGGGTCTGCAACTAAAACGCAATCAGCCACAGCTGCTGTGACAGCCAGAGGGAATGTGAGGAGGGTGAATATCTGTGCAATATAGCTGAATGTTATATAAAGCTTTCTGCAGTAGTTCTACCCATGTATGCAATGCAAATTTAGCAGTCAAAAATTATATTAAAAATGTGTTTCACTACTGTACATATATGTGGATTATCATGCCAAGGCTACTAAGGGAGGTAAATTGCAGAAGTGTGTACTGCAAAATCTTTTTTTTTCTTGCAGTCTTCCAGTAAAAAATATCAAAACATCCATATAGCAAGCTGAAATTTTCCAGGATCAAAATTATGCATTATAAAACAATGAGGTCTTATTTTAGTATTATTTATATACTATTATAGTATTTGTTCATTTTTAACAAATAATTTTTATATTTGTTAATTTTTTAATTTTTATTTTTGTCAATTTCATAATTTTTTATATTTTATACTTCAGTTTTAGTAATTGTTGCACTTCAACTTAACCATATTCATTTAGATGAGAAGTTTTTCATCTTATATATATATATATATATATATATATATATATATTAGTTCCAATCCTTGATTCTGATTGGTCAATAGCTGTGCTTTATTCATGATAAAATGGCTTCACCCAACGGTTCTATTTCTCACTGCGCAACACTGCGGTTCCTATGTTGTTTTTATTTGAGCTTTCATGCATTTTACACATTGGAAAGTTGTTGCTGTTGAATACATTTTTATTTTTATTTTAATATATTTATTGTGTGTTAACCGTTTTATAAAAGCTATAATAAGATACTCGAGCCAAGTGCTGTATCATGATTAAGTAACGGCTGAAGGGCGTTGTTGTTGTGTTCCAAATTGGGCGGAGACAGCCTCTCGTACCTTATTGCTTACTTATTTAACATGTATATTTATAGAGCAAGATATTAAACACTAACAGGTCTTTACTTTCAGTATAAAAACAAAAACAAATAAAATAACACTTAATTTCAACATTTATTCTCTTTATCCAGTCTTAAGCATGCTGGAAACTAGTAATCCACTGCCTAATTTCAATATATATAAATATTTTACACATAATATTAAGTTGATGTAATGATCAACATTATTATGCCAGCAGAACTCAACACAATAATGTTTGCCACTCAAAAGGTTTAATTAAAACAATAAGTTTGAATTTTAACTTCCATCCGTGCATTTATTTAAGTTGTGGTAACAGGTCCTCTGTACACAAGTGAGTCATATGGTGTTTTTATTGAACCTTTGACCTTTTTAGAGCTTGACAGCCCCAAGTCTATGTCTTTCTTTGCCTCTTTTCTCCTTTTGTGTTACTTTAAAGAAAAGAAAATAATTTGGGGTTTGGGAGATAGAAATCTTTTGTAACAGCTTAAATCTATTTCCTGTCACTTTTGATCAATTGAATGCATCGTTATACTGAATAAAAGCATTCATTTCTTTCCCAAAAAAAGTCTTTCCCCAAACTTTGGAGCGGTAGTAATCATACCCATGCTGATATTAATGTGATATTGCTTAAACATGAAAAATGAAACTAGCCGGAGGGGAAAACACACGTAGTAGGCTACTGTACTGTCTCTCCTCGGCTCAACTCTTTCAGCGGCAGACCACAATCTTCACACCTCCAGTCCTGTCCTCACTCTTCCCCCTGAAGCGTCACATCATGGCGATGATGTAGGCTACCATGCTCTGTTGAAACCCACAGTTCCCATGGCATGCATTTACTGTCTCCTCATGACTGTGTGTATGTGTACGTGTGTGTGTGCATACGTGTGAGCCGCCATTCTCACACACTGAGGTAATGTGCATCTCTTCATCTCACAGGCAAACCCTCCCCCCATCATTGTGAACGCAGACTCACTGGATGCAGGCCCTTATGTAAGTATCTGCTTCATGCTCTCAGCACCTCCAGTAGCGCCTGCCTGCCTGACTGCCTGCCACGTGGAATTATCCCCCTCATCCCGGCTAAACCTTTCCTGTTGTACATGAGATAATAACAATAAAAATATGCAGAGATTAAAACACAGCAGATGTGCCTTTAATGCCGAGTGAAATTATTGTTTAGCCGTTATAATGAGTAGTCTTTGACTACTGTGCATTTATCAGCCCTATGCCTTGTACGTGATTTTTATTGCGCTTTATTGCGATTTTTACATAATTAATGATAGTTGTGACCTTCTTGTGTTGTTCACATTATTTCATGCCTAATGATTCTGTTTATGAGTCTATGTTAAACCATTTTTTCTTTCGACTATTACAGGTGAACGGGAGTGATGGCATGTACAAATATGAAGAAATCATTCTGGAGAGGGTAAATATTATTCAGCTGTTTTAAATGTCTGTTAGGGTGTCTTGTAAAACTTGCCAATATTCTCCTCCAGCAATGCTACCTAAGAGGACCTAGACACTAGATGGCAGTAAATGTTGAGCTACGTAAATGCCTGCAATTGAACTTCTGGCAATTCAATTCACAGCTGTGGTACATTATCAAAACTGATCATCACCTCAGTATTGAATACTTTAGAAACATAAATAATGATCAATCCTGATGAAAATCTATAGATATATTAAATTCTCTGTAGATTGCCGTTATTCAGTAGGTTTAAATGAGAATTGAATTAAATTTATTGATATAAAGGAAAACTTTATTACATATATAAAGGATATTTTGATATAAAGGAAAATTATTACAGCAACTTTAAACGAATGTCCTGTGTGGATCAAACACTTATTAGGTGTAGTACAAATGTTAGATTATTATTCTCATTATTCTTAAATCAGTTGAGAATAATTCTTGATAATCTGAAAACATGACTGCTAATAGAGTTTTGAAAATGTACTACTTGTGATAATACCATGCAATTTATCTAAGTGCAGGTGCTGTTCTTATCTACAAAGAATTATCATATGAACTACCATGGTTTTAACATTGCAAAGTCTTTTCATACTTGAAGTTTGTTCAATGCAAATGAATCTAAATCTATCTGCAAAGGCCATTCATTAAAGAGCAGTGGATGTTGGATTTGGGTGCATCTCTGAGCTTTCAGCATAATTGCAGGGCTGTTCTGTAAGTGCCATTTCTGTATGCTGAGGCCTAAATAAACTATGTTAAGATCTTACATGTTAAAAGGTCTGTGGGTGTGAACGCTTCTTTAGTTGGAGCTCTCGCAGTGGCTCTGGAGCATGGAAGGCTCACTGGGATGTCTTAGCTCCACTCGCTACTAATTTGCTCCGACCGTCGCTCATTAATTATAGAAAATAATAAAGTGAAATCTTTTCTCAGCTGTCTGCTTTAGGGCCTGTCTTGAGATGTGACTTTCAGACAGACCAGTCTGTCTCAGCTTTTTGGCACTGGAATGAAAACAGCAGTGTGAGTCTGTGAGAGGTGATAAAGTATGGAGGAAAAAAATGGGCGGAAGCGGATAAGATTTTTGGATTCTTGAAATGCGCACCACAAATTCCTATGTTTAGCAGCATTAAACTGTCCATGCCTTGCTGGTGTTTACAAAGTATTGAGAGCCAGGTGTCTTCCAAAAAGCTCATGCAAACGGTACCCACAAATCTTTGTGAAATGTCTGCATTTCCTCATCTATAATATTCTACTCATGTATGTCATTAATAGGGCAACTCTGGTCTTGGGTTCAGCATTGCTGGAGGTGTGGATAATCCACACATTCCTGATGATCCAGGAATCTTCATCACAAAGATCATCCCAGGAGGTGCCGCTGCCATGGATGGGAGACTAGGGTGAGTGATCTCACAGGGTCTAACATTCATTTTATGCAACTCTTGCTTTGTTCCCAAACCTAGTGAGCGTCCTGCATAGGCAGTATTTTATGGCATCATAGGCAGGCCTCCGTTTCATCGGATGTTCATCGGATGTATCCTTTAAAGGAAGAGGCAATACTTTAGAATGAGCTTTGTTGAAAAATAAATTCAAGATGGCGGACATGACGAGAAAAACTTCAATTCTGAAAGGTGTCTAATAAAAGTTAATAAAAAATTGATTATTTTGCTAAGCATTTTTATCATATTAGAGTATTAGCTTAGCAACCAACTAACAGTGTCAGCTTAGCAACATTCGCTAAGGAATTTAGGGTGAAGAGCGAAATACGGGCGAAATATTTCATGTGAATTAGCGGTGTATGATTTTGAAAGTGACTTTTGAGGAATATCACTGTGTATTGATAGTGAACAATGGACTTTTTTGTGACCGTACCTTATGTTGAGTTTTTCAGATTAGGTGGTTATCATTAGGATGATCTCCAAGAAGGAATTTGGCTTACTTGGTTTTGGAACAAAGTCTCTCTGTAGGATTTTTCCCATCCTCACCGACCTCATCATAAAATCCGTTTAAATGATCATACGACGCCTCCTTGCTCACTGTTTTGTTGACGGCGGCCGCGGTGTGACACTGTTGTGTTGTGTTGCCAGATTGGATGTTTTTTCACTAAATATTAAGGACTGTTTACGTGTGTTTTAGCCTAGAAGGCTCTATAGAAATCTGGCACCGTATTGTATGAAGTTAAACTGAGAGAACGTGCGTTCACACACACCAGAATGAACGTGTTCACAGTAACATTCAACAGCCAGTAATACAGTACGTTCAGTTCATTTTCGCCCAAAATATGAACACGTTCAATGAACGCGTTCAGGCACAACACTGATATATATATATATTTATATATACATTTCTTGATTTATCATGTTATTGCTGTGTTGACTTTGAATCTCTTCTTGTGTCTAAGGGTAAATGATTGTGTTCTGCGCGTGAATGACGTGGACGTGTCAGAGGTTGTGCACAGCAAGGCAGTGGAGGCTTTGAAGGAGGCCGGCCCAGTGGTCAGGTTGCTGGTACGCAGAAGACAGGCTCCTCCGGAGACCATTTTGGAGGTCAACCTACTCAAAGGGCCTAAAGGTTAGCGTTGCTAAATGTGCACTTAAAGATACACACAATAGAAATGGCTGTTTTGCATGATATTGCTTTTATAGCAGTTCTGAATTATTTTGAACTTGTGTTGAATTCATAAAGTCAACATTATTGTCAAATTTGCCCTTATTTACAAAATGCATCAGTGCAATTTTTTTTTTTCTCATTCAATTCCCTGTTTCTCTTGAAAATATGCCACATTAAGTGCCAGGTTTTGAGTGTCATTTCATGTTGAGATTTGAGTGTCATTTCAACTTCAGAAGATTAAAATGTAACTCATTCCATTCCATTCATTCAAGGTCTTGGCTTCAGTATTGCTGGAGGTATAGGCAACCAGCACATCCCGGGTGACAACAGTATCTACATCACAAAGATAATCGAGGGTGGGGCGGCACAGAAAGATGGACGTCTGCAGACAGGCGATCGCCTACTAGCTGTAAGATTTCACCTGCACACATGCACCTGTGTACTTCACTATGTAGAGCCAAGCTGGTTTATGCATTAGAAGTTCATTGCATATCTTTGCAGGACCTTTTTTTTCAGTGAATTTATATATGCTTTAAAGACCACAGTTGTAGGCTATTGTACAATACAATACAATACAATATTGTATAGACTATTATGTCATATTTTAGACAATATATCTCATGTGTGAAGGTTTATGGGCCACCGTGTGATTGATGTGAAGCTGAGCACAAACTCAAACAAGGACACGTCTGTGATAAAGAGAAACACTTGCATGGCACACAATTGCCAAGTACTGAGCAAGCTTTGACATGGTCATAAATGCCATAATTAATAGGCTATGCATCGATCCTGGCAGCCATAACTGCAGACATGTAAATATGCCTTTTCTTCCCTTTCTTTTTTTTTGATTCAGTCTGGGAGCTTGCTTTCTTGAACAGAGTGCCTAGAGTTTGTCAAATTTTAATTATCTCTGTCAAGTCTGTCAAGTTATAATGTGACAAAGTGACAAAGTAATAACAAAGTTATAATTTATTACAAACTAGATTTGATACTGCATCTGATAATAGTGTGTATCCATACATTTTTGGGGTGGATGGTGCACTACAAGAATGTAGACGAAAAAAATCAGTTGTGAAAGTGACACTCCATCATGCACAGGATCAGGCAAAATTCAAAATTGATGTATTATATCCCTTTATTCAATGAGTTGACATTTAATTTGAAAGATCTGTTACGAATTGATTCCACCGGAGGCAAGATGTAGCAAACCCAAATGCAACTTTAATAATAAACATAAGATCAAACATGAAAACAAAGGCTAGAAACTGGAAACTAGAACAACGGCAGGAAACATACACCGGTAACATACTATACTACACGGGGCAGACAAGAGGGCTTAAATACACTGACTAATTACAAGACAAGGAACACCTGTGAACAATGATCAGACAATTTTGACAAGACACATGGCAGGACCAAATGACAAACAGGGAATCATATGACAGACAAGAACAAGGAACAAGACTCAAAACCCACACCGTGACAGATCTATGTTGTGTGTTTCATGTTACTGAAAAGTTAAATGTATTATTAAAAACTACATTAGCAGAAGTTGTATCACTTTTTGCATTTCATTTAAATTAAATTCTGCTTTCATTCAAATTAGAATTTGGATTACAGTCACAAATTGCTCCAAGTTTTGCTGCATTTTCAGATTTTTATTTACATCGTTTCACTCTCTAAATAATTCAAATTTAAAATTGTATTTATTATTTTTAAGTTTTTGTTTTATTTATGTATGCTGCTTGGATTTATTGTGGGTTATTCAACAGTAATAATACATGTTAGTTATTTGCAGACATGTAATAAAGGAAAGAAAAAACTCATCGATGGTCATACATTTTTTTTTAATCCAAGGCGTCTATTGACCAGTGAGTATTTCAGAGAGGCAGTTGTGAGTCCAATTCGCTATATACTCCTATTTCAAACAGACTTGACTCCTTCCACTCCCTTAGAACAAATTTAACACATTTCTATCTGTGAAGCACAAGTTTTCTGTAGTGTGTAGGTGCCCTAAAGCTTATAAAGGAAAGAGCACTGCGCCTTTCCAGCTACCCCACCCTCTTGTCCTTCCTTTTGTGACCGGACGGCTGAGAGCTAGAGAATTGAGAGCATCGTCGTCGATTGTTGGGCCATCCAGCCTCCGCTCCAGTCACTTCCTTCCCACATCTTCAAATGTGCTGTCGTGAACATTCTGAGTCACGCTTCAGAGACCAGCCGATGTAACATGCGTGTGTGTGTCTGCCTTCGCAGGTGAATAACATTATACTTCAGGATGTACGTCATGAGGAGGCTGTGGCCGCCCTGAAGAATACTTCAGACATGGTCTATCTGAAAGTGGCCAAGCCGGGACCAGTGCATCTCAACGACATGTACGCCCCACCAGACTACTCAAGCAGTACGTACCTTCTTTTGCTGATCTCCATCAACCTTGTGCCCTTACTACCTCACAAACATTCCCAAACTGTTTATTTTATAGCCCAAACACATGACTTTTCACACTACATTGTCATACGTGAGACTTACTTTGCTGTTAGGGCAATTCAAACATAACCTACATCCCTATCTGCTTTTATCTGTAACCCTGTAATGAAACTGAGTGGTGCAGAGCCTGTGAGTGCTGTGGAGTTTTGTAACAGCACTGTGGTGTAGCAGTGGGCGCTGTTTTCAGACACCCACACACACTGCACTGCTGCTCCCATCTGAACACTGATTCCTCCCTCCCACTGAGAGACGAGGCTTTCACACAATCCACCTGCACAATTGCACACACAGCGGCCAAAATTACTACTAATGGCGGCTGAATATCTCTTTTTTGGCCATGAAACTGTATTTAGCATTTTTATTAAAAATATCGTTTTTCAATTGAATAGCAATTACAATGAGATTATTTAGCTGTTTTTTACTTCCATATTCATGTCCTATACGAGATGAGCCAGTCGCGCAATAAAAGTCCATCAACGAAAGTCAAAAGGCAAAGTGGGATTATGGACAATATCAGTATGAATCCTTATCCTTATAATTTGCAATTAAAACCAGCAATAATGATTTTCTTTTTGATTAGAAAATAAAAGACACACTACCGTTGTGTAAAAGGTTGAGGTTGTTAGTGTATTTTTAATAGAAATAAATAATATGTTTATTCGGTAAATTAAAAAGTGAATATATAAAACATTTTCTTATTTCAAATAAATGCTTTTCTTTTGAGCTCTCCATACACTCAGGAAGAATCCTGATAAAAAGTGCATCACACTCTCCAGAAAAATATTAAGCAGTACAACTGTTTTGAACATTGATAATAATACGATTTTTTTTCTTGCGCACCAAATCATCATATTAGAATGATTTCTGAAGGATCACGTGACACTTAAGACTGGAGTAATGATGCTGAAAATTCAGCTTCAGCAGTTCAATTGTATTAATATTTCACAATATTATTGTTTTACTGTATATTTCATCAAATAAATACAGATTTGGTCATCATAAGAGATTTCTTTTAAGAAAAATTGAAAAATGTTAATCCAACCCCAACATTTTGAATGGTTTTATACATGCACGTCATAATCAGGCATGCTTTTAAGCAGCTGTGATAAATACCAGTTGATAAAATTTCACCCAGGTCTCATAGGTCTCTTATCTATAATCAGACAATAAGGATTTATGTTTATAATGTTCAAAAACCTCGTCAAATTATCCTTTTTACAAATTGATTTAAACTAGGTTCTGCACACACATCTTAGAGATGAACCGGTCCTCTGTAGTTACCTGGTGAAATCATCTGCCTTTTTTTCCTTTATTGGCCTCGGCCTCCCTCCAGCCTTTCCCACCATGGTGGACAACCACGTTGGACACAACTCCAGCATGGCTTACATGGGAGCCATGGAGCCTAAACCAGTGTACCAGCCACCCCAGGTCACCCCCTCGAGGTACTCGCCAGTCCCACGGCACATGCTGGGGGAGGAGGACTTCACCAGGTCAGAGTCAAGAATTTAATTACCTATTCACTTAGGGTCACTCACTTTCTTCACTCCAGGGTTCCCACGGCCATGAAAAATCTGGAAATATTAGGGAATTTTAAGATTTCCTGGAAAAGTCACCCAAATAGAAATTTCTACAGCTCTAAAATATTGAATCATCTTGAAGTTGTGAATGCAATTTTAATAATACAACTGGTAAATAATAAAAATTTCCTGCAAAGTAACTGAAAAAATCATGAAAATGTATTGGTCAAAAAGTGTGGGAACCCTGTCACTCACTCAGATGTCACTTTTCAAGAGCACTCATACACAAATTACAAAAAGCAACACTTTGCATGCCCAAAAAAATATATTTTTGATTAGAGGCGTACTTTGTTTTACCACAATCTGTGCTACAGTTCTTCAGCTTTAGTTGTTTAATGTCTTTTTGGCAATACTGTTCACATTTTATGATGTAACTGGGAAAATATAGAACACACACACACACACACAAAAGATTTTTAAGTAGGTGTCGAGTGTGGGCTGAAGAACGTCTACGAGGTGTCTTATGCCTCTCTGTGGTGGTGTGTTTGTGAACATTGCTTTAACGCAACATGACTGGTTGAATAAAGTCTCCAACACAATTCCCAACACGGCAAACAGACACTCTGTAAGAAATGCTTCTGGCATGGGGTCAAATGTTTTGAAGTTACGGCCACTTTTGCCTGGACATGAGACGTGTTTTAGCTCTCTGAGCATGGACTCCCTGGAGCCTGTGAGTCAGCCCGGGCCCCAGAGCTGACTCGTCCCTCTCTAGCCATCCAGCTGAAGGCATCCTCACTTCTGCATGTGTGTGTTTGTCTCCGTCTGTGTGCATGTGTATGTGTCTCATACAGTATGTCTCAGTGTCTGCTGTCTCTGTGTGTCTGAAAGCGCCCCATTTACTGTGTGATTTCTGTACCTCCAATAGGGGCGAGCCCATTTACAGTGCCATCCACAAACCTCATGGGGACACCAGCCCTCCCTCCCCCCATCTGTGCAGCAGGGGGTCTGGGGATGTGGGTTGCAGCCCCGCCCCACCTGCTCTGTGTCAAAGCCTGGTCCCGTACACCGGCAGGTACTAACCACTGCTTCTCGCTCTGCCTGGCTTAGCATAGCATAGCCTAGTAGTTAACCTAATAACCCCCCCACCCCACGGCCACCACCCTTCCCCCTAACTCAGCTCAACCTGCTGTGTGGCACAAGTAAGGTCTTGAGGCGATATAGCTCCCTGCCTCGAGCCGTTTACTCCTCTGTAGTGTTGAAGAGATGCCATGCTTTTTTAGCTTGTGGTATTAAACTCCTTAAGGCCTGTTCACACCAACAGGAAGGTTTGGCACAAAAGAAATTGGTCCAAATGTGATTTGTCTGTTCAGACCCGGGCTGAATGGAAATTCACTCTCTGACTGTCGGTGGCGCTTTTAGAAAGCAGGAATTTTCTGGTTACTCCGGGACACAAAGCATTAAGAAACTTTATGTTTCTGATACCCTCGTCATGAAGAAGAAAGTAAATCAAACGGTATTTACTTGTTTTTTTGTATTCGCTGTGGTGTTTGTCAAACAATAAGTGCACAGAGATTCTTCCTTGGCTATTTACTGTTAATTAGCATAATACTCTGTTTGTGAGCGCCAATATGCTAGGACAAAGATCACTTTCCTCTTCTGACATGTCATACTCACTTTTTTCACGAATATATGACTTGATCTGACGAAGGACAGATGCAGGTATTTGCACGCGCTCAGTCGGTCTCTCTCTCTCTCTCTCTCTCTGTCTCTCTCTCTCTCACTCACTGTCTGGTATACAGACTCTTAATTAAGTAATAATCTTAATAATACATTCTTCACTTTTGTTATCATTATTAACTTATTTATCATTCAGTACACATGCATGAAGTGTAAAACAAGAAGGGCATAGCCTTATGAAAAAAGAAAATAACATGAACATTGCGGTTGGCTTGTGTGTATCGCGGTATTACAATATTGCGATTATCGCGACAGCCCTACCAAGTTGTTGTTTTATGTAACAGCAGCGGGTCTAGGCATGTTCACAGTGGGATGGAAAAGAGACGTCATTGACAGCATGCTTATATTCGTGTTGGTCTGATCAGGTACATTACAGCTGCTCATTTAAATTGAAATCGCACAGAATTTCGAACCAAATATTTGTCTTGCTGTGATCAAGACTTTAAGCACCTTTAGAGTCAATAGAGTCACAAATGTTTAGGACAGACTGTTTAGGTATAGTTTTAGGGATATTGAAATTTCTGTCATCATTTGCTCATTTCATGTCATTTCAAACCTGTATGGAACATAAAAAGTAATTCTTGAAAGTGTCCAATTTTGTTTGTACCCCAATGATTCAAAACGAAAAAAAAAAAAAAAAAAAAATACATGTGAGTAAATTATGGCAGAATGTGGCAAATAAGCGACAAGAATACTTTTTGTGCGAATAAACAAACAAAAATAACGACTTTATTCAACTGTTCCTTTTCTTCCTTCTGGGCCTGAGACGAGAGTTCAAGAGATTGTTTCTTTTTTTGCACAAAAAGTATTCTCGTCGCTTGATAAACTTGCCACTGTAGTCACATTGAATATTTAAACATTTTCTTCGATGAATTTCTGGGCCGTCAAGTTTCAATCCCTTAGGGTGCCTATGTGGTAGTGATACAGCTCTCAAATTTAATCAAAAATAGATGAACAAAGGTCTTACGGGGTTGGTACAGCATGTGGGTGAGTAATTAATGACTTAATTTTCATTTTTGGGTGAACTATCCCTTTAGCCATTTAGTAAATCTACAATAATGTGATAAATAATACCACTAATTATGTTTTGTAAGTTTTATGCCATACTAATGCCATCTTTTTCTTCTTTTGTTTTTCTTCTTTGTTATTGAAGCTTTGACAAATTCTGTTGCAGAAGCCTGCAGCCTTTAGCTTTAGCTTTACCAAATGGGGGGTTTTGGTAGCACCAAACCTTTTTTTTCTCAGTTTAAATCTAAGCCATCATCCATTACCAGCCCATATAATGTCTTGGTGTTTTGTGTGTTCTCTGAAGCAGTCTTAGTCTGAGTGATGTACTGTGACTGGCTGTCTGGGATGGGTATAATCTACTTTATGTACCACTATGTGTCAGTGATTGTTGCTTAATTCTTGTATACTCACTGTACTGTAGAACAGGCTCTACAGGCTAAAGCTAATTATTCAATTCATTTTTAATAACCCTAACTCTACATATTAACCTTTAGCACATACTAATCAATCAACATTATCGTGACATGGTGATACCATGTGCAGTTTATTGAAGAGTGTGTGCTATTAGAAGTTGGACTTACAATGTTCGGCAGATACAGTCCATAGACCTACATTGAAAGACTGGAGCTATATCTAGAGACCATCAGAAACGATTTTTTTGCCTTTGGCCAGTAAGCAATCACCCAGAACTCCCTAGCAACATCCTAGCAAACACATAGCAACATCCTGACAACCTAAACACTCTAGCAACTGCATATTGATGCCTTGCCCTTTTGCATCACACTCATTTTATTCAGAAACTTTTTTTTAATTTGTATACAGAACTATTCTTCCACATGGTGCCCACAAGTGTGTGTGTGAGTGTGTGATCATGTATGCAATACTGACCTCCCACCTTTTGAGATCTTGTACATGTATGTTGATATCGTAATATATGTTCATCAGTTTGTATACTAGCATTGCTGTAGGTGTGACAGAAACTGGAGCGGTCACCCAAAGATTTATTATTCTCCAAACACATAAATACACACTCCAACACAGGAATGTTTTGGCTTCTGTTGCAGTTATGTAAATATAAACAGTAGGACATGCTCTTACCATAAATGTATAGGGAAGTGAGATGTTGATTCTGCAGTCAGACTACAAATGAGTTGTGGCGCACATTCCTGAAGCTGTCATGATTCATTTGAATGGGGGAAAGCAGGCCACAGACACACACACACACACACACACACACACACACACACACACACACACACACACACACACACACACACACACACACACACACACACACACACACACACACACACACACACACACACACACACACACACACACACACACACACACACACACACACACACACACACACACACACACACACACACACACACACACACACACACACACACACACACACACACACACACACACACACACACACACACACAAACCTACACAGGGCTACACTTACCAAAGTACATAAATAGTGTTCTATTATCCCACTTTGCACTTCGCTGTGCGCAAACTAAGCTGTCAAAGTAAGTCTGAACCTTATCACAATCACCCTGGAGGTCTCCCCAGAGGCTAATAAAAGTTGTTTACAGGCACATATACTTTGTGTCGGTGTACAGTGACAGTTCACTCCTGGAGGACTCTACCAGTGTGTGTGTGTGTGTGTGTGTGTGTGTGTGTGTGACTGAGTCACAGGAGAGACTCTGATAGGCCCTCTGCCCATCTGTGCTTCCCCCACACAAGCACGGCAGTCACAGACACATTTAGATCCCAGTACAAACTAACGGCCCCCTGGCTTCTTTACCAGCTGAATACATTGTGGAGATTCGGGAGAGATCTCCCACCCAACCTTCGGATTGCATAATCGGCCGTGCCACCAATCGAACAGGCTAATGACAATCTGTTTGCACACTCATCTTCACAAATGATGGACACACTTTTAGATACAAACCCAGACGGAGATATAAGAGTGTATAATCACACAAATCTTTTAAATAGTTCAGGCCATTCGTGACCATGTTTGATTATGGTTTTCAAAAATGGCTTCCTTGCATGACTCATGGAGTTTGTTTTTCCATTCATGCATTACGTCACTTGTAATTCAGACTGCCACATACACAACTGTAGGGGGAATAATAATAAGTATTATATACAGTATATCTTTATTTTGTAACTTGTGTTGAAAAGCTGTCCGTTGTGCTGGTTATGGTTGATGTTTCAAACTAAAAAAAGGATATATAAATGAAATATCCACTGAAAATTAATACATAAAAAATCATGAATCATGAATTATGTTCACCAAGGGGTAAATGGTTTTATCACAAGATTTTTTGTGAAGCGTGGTTACATATACTGTATTTATTCACTAGTTTCATGCTGAACACATACTGTTCTCTCTTTAATATATAACTTCAGTTCTAATATTTGAGTTCAGTATGATACGTTATACGTTAGTAAGAAGTTATTTTTTTAGAAGATATTAACACTTTGCATTGAATTGATCAAAAATTACAGTAAAAACATGAATAATGTTACCAAAGATTTCTATTTCAAATAAATGCTGTTCTTTTTATCTTTCTATTTTTTTAAAGAATCCTGCAAGAAAATGTATCATGGTTTGCATTAACATATTTTAAGCAGCACAACTGTTTTCATCATTGATAATAATAAGAAATGTTTCTTGAGCAGTAAATCAGCATATTAGACTGATTTCTAAAGTATCATGTGACGAAGACTGAAGACTGGAGTAATGGCTGCTGAAAATTTAGCTTTGTCATCAGTAATAAATTACATTTTGAAATATATTCCAATAGAAAACAGCTAGTTTAAACTATAATAAAATGCACAATACATTTTATAAAGTGAATGCAGCCTTGGTGAGCATAAGAGACTTTGTTTCAAAAACATTTAAATGTATCAACCCCAAACTTTTGAAGGGTACTGTATAAACAAGTGTGCATGTCAACAGTAAAGGACTGAAGAGTAACTGTCCCAGTACAATTGACAATTCAGAATCTAAATCTTCACAAAATAATTGTCAATAAAGCATCACGATAAGTCTAGTCACTCATTTGTCATTCATTTTAGTTTATACTGTGCAAATAAAATAGGCAGTATAGAATATTATTGAAGCTGGTACGTTTTGGCAGCTTCAGTGACGCACCTGATTGTAAACTGTTGACACACTTGGTTTATTAGCTGCTTGGAGAGGCTGGAAATATCTTGAACGTCTCTTGGCGTGAAGTCAAATGGGACTGAAGAAGTGTGTTCTGAGGAAGAGATTAGTGGTTTTCAACCAGAGCTTTGAAA